CCTGCAGCGGCAGCCCTTTGCCAGCGCCTGGCCATGTCGCCATACTCCATTTAGAGGGCTTCAAAACGTGCGCGAAGCACGGCCCATCACGACACAAAACCCCTCTGTGGGCCTTTACCGCTTTGCCACTGCCTTCCCAGGTCACCGCGAACACGTTGCCCTGCAGCAGCACTCCTCTGCCAGCGCCTGGCCAGTCGCCATACTCCATTTAGAGGGTTTCAAAACGTGCGCGAAGCACGGCCCATCACGACACAAAACCCCTCTGTGGGCCTTTACCGACTTTGCCACGGCCTTCCCAGGTCACCGCGAACACGTTGCCTTGCAGCGGCAGCCCTTTGCCAGCGCCTGGCCATGTCGCCATACTCCATGTAGAGGGTTTCAAAACGTGCGCGAAGCACGGCCCATCACGACACAAACCCCTCTGTGGGCCTTTACCGCTTTGCCACTGCCTTCCCAGGTCACCGCAAACACGTTGCCCTCCAGCGGCAGTCCTTTGCCAGCGCCTGGCCAGTCGCCATACTCCATTTAGAGGGTTTCAAAACGTGCGCGAAGCACGGCCCATCACGACACAAAACCCCTCTGTGGGCCTTTACCGCTTTGCCACTGCTTTCCCAAGTCACTGCGAACACGTTGCCCTGCAGCACTCCTTTGCCAGCGCCTGGCCAGTCGCCAACCCGTCTGTGGGCCTTTACCGCTTTGCCACTGCCTTCCCAGGTCACCGCGAACACGTTGCCCTGCAGCAGCAGTCCTTTGCCAGCGCCTGGCCAGTCGCCATACTCCATTTAGAGGGTTTCAAAACGTGCGCGAAGCACGGCCCATCACGACACAAACCCCGTCTGTGGGCCTTTACCGCTTTGCCGCTGCCCAAGTCACCGCGAATCAGTCCCGCTTTACCGTCTTCGGCCGGCTCTTCCATGGGTCATGCTCAGGATTTACCAGCCCTCTGCAAGGGAACAAGGTGATGATACGTATAGGTGGTTGCTCTGGTGAGTTACCCAAAATCCTGGTGAAAATCATGGACAAACATGACAAATATGGAAACATGTGGGATAACATCGCATAACATCGGATAACCATGGCCCTCCAAATGGGGGTCGGCGGCACCAGGGCGTTAGCCCATTTATTTATCTATCTATCTGGCTGGCTAGCTGGCTGGCTGGGTAGCTGGCTAGCTATCTCTATCTAGCTTGTGTCACAGACTGATGTGCACCTGGGTGTCTGGAGCAAGAAAAAGAGGTATCGCGTGCGTCTCGCTTAAGTATCGCTAGGGCATCGCTAAAATTCACCTCATGATTTTCCAAATTTGGTATCTGTTGACACTGTAGTACTTTGTCCGAAAGCAGCTTCATGAAACAACAGCAGTACGAAGCAAGAGTCAGCAAAGAGGCAAGCAAAACAGTGCAAGTTCACATGGGGGGTCAATGGAACCACTCTTCAGCAACGACAATAATTTGTCAGTGTCACAAAGAAGCTTCACTAAACAACAGCAGTGGGGAGATAAAGTCAGCGGAGAGGCAATCGAAATGGCGCAAGTTTAAGTGGAGAGTCAACTAAAACATGCAAGGATGTGCAGGCAGCTAGTGAAACAAACGTGTTTACAGGAACTTGGCTTCCGCTTCTGCGGATTTCCTTCTCTGCGGACCACTCCATGGATATCAAGAAGAACACTTTCTGAGGAGCACGTACCCTTGCGGGCCCAAATCTGGTTCACAAATGACGTCAGAAATCAATATCCAAAATGACATTACCTTGAAAGGGGGTATCGCTAATTTGGAAAGGTCCCATCGCTTACCTCATGTTTTTAACAATTTCCATAAATTTCCACAAACCAAATTCCGTCCCTTACATGTTTAGTATTGCCGGGGTTTTTGCGGTGGCTCAGATAAGTTTATTGAATCTGTTCTCTCGAATTTCTGTCGTTCTATCACCCCAATATATGATTGATTTGAATGTAATTGCGGTCGTTGCCTGTTCACCTACTAGTCCTGTTATCGATTGTCTCATTGTTCAATTGTCATGAATTCGTTGTAGCAATGTGTTGCTACAGTACCTTCTAGTTTTGTTGCCCTGTTTTCTACTCCCCCACGTCTGGCTACGTGATTGCCATGTTCTGGATTGTTGTCCTTCTGCATTGATACCTTACTTATCCTTTTGCCCGCCTGCCTTGCTTCATTGTCAACCTGGTATTCTTCGATAGTCCTTTCGGCTTGTGGTTGTTGCTTTGGTTGTTTTGAGCAAACGCGAGTTACCACACCAGTTCAAGTCTAAGAAATAGGTTCTTTAGGCAATGGAAATAGGTTTGCGTAAAATATAATTTTCTTACCGCAGTACACAAAGATATGACTTGATTTGCACCATTTTTTGCCCGCTACTTGATTGAATGAATAGATCATCAATAATTTACATGCACCTGCTGGCAAGCAAAGATAAGTCCTGTTCAAAGTTTCAGGTTCATTGGTTGTATTGTTAATGCAGGTTGTATCTTCCAGGCAAGCGGGTGGACCATGCTTGTACATGGTGCAATCACGCTTGTTGACTGCTCCTGACTTGACTCTGAAAGTCTGCTGCCTCCGACGCAGTTGCCTCACTTTGCCTTCAAACTTAAAGGAATAATCATGACAAACCTGGAAATCAACAGAATGTGCTAACATGTTTTGACACGGGAGGCTACTGTTTATGTGCGCAACTGCCTCAGATTCACAAGTGTGGTGACAAAAGTGGAGTTCCAAAGGAACTCGTCACTGCCAAGTGAACAGCCAAGCAAGGGCCAATGCCGAGTCATGTTTTGTCCCTTGTGGAAAACTTTGTGCAACAGACATGGTGACTGCGAGTAGTTTGATGCTATTCATCCTACAAGGATCCATTCCCATCGCGAAGCAATGTCTTGTCTGGCTGTCAGTTGGTTCTGGAGAGCAGGAAGCCTTGTCAGCCAGGGCAAGTCTTGATTCAACACTCTACACTGGTCAGGTGCCTCATTGGAAGGATTCTCATGAATGAGAGCAGCATCTCTTTAGTGTGGAGCGCTGCTGTAACTTGGGCGTCAGGGACAAAACAGGACAAAACCTGAAATGCTGCTTAGGTGCAAGCAATGCGATTACCCCATCAACAGCTGCCTCTGCCTGCACATGTTTTCCCCAAATCAGACAAGCTGGGGGCAATCTAGAACCACTGGCTTGATGGAATCACAAGGTTTGATTTGTCTGATCTGGAAATGTTGGCAGAACTGGCCTTCAAGGTTCGTTCAGCTCGAGCTCAAACAACAATCATCATCGCCTACAGCATATTACAAAATGGCCTGCAAGCACTTTTCATGAGGACAGCGAGCGCTTCTCCAGTTTGTCAAGCTTCAAGCTACTTTCAATGATTCAAAGAATACAAACACTCATGTTCCGGGGATTACCTGAATCCGTTACAATGCACGTGACGGCAACCTCACCTTCTGTGCTGGCCGCACTGCGCAAGCAGCAGCCATCTGAGGCAGGCGGCAAGGTTGTGCAAGGTGTCATGGAAAGAGTCAACGGAGACCAAGGTAACACGTCCAATGTCCATGGAGTTTACTGATGTTTACTGTAGGTCTGAGGAGAGTGGGTGTTGTTTCATGTAGATGAGTAGCCTTGGTCCGCACAGAAGTTCCGATGCAGTCACTCAAAAATCTGCATGTACATATATAGCTCAGCAGCTTGGAGCCTCCGCAACCTCGGCCTCTTTTAGCACATTGGACCATGCAGCCTTCCCAATGACAAGACCAAGCTGAATCAGTACAGCATGGGACAGATCTGCTGAGCAGATCTGCAACTGAGACTTCCCCTGGTACTGAACTGCTACATCTTGATCTTTTTTAAAATAGCTTTCACATCTGCGGTCTTTATGAGCGAAAATGCCTTGAGCTTCATGGCGTGCTTTGGAGCACAAACCTGACAAGAACAGAGTCGGATGCAACGAGCAAATAACTCCAACGCAAACCAACTTATATCATGGTGCATGATGAGTTCGAGTGAAGGTCTGCATTTTGGTCTGCAAACTAGATCTTCTGCAAAAACAAAACATATTTGATCCACCTCGGATCCACCTGAGGATCCAACCTCGGGTGGCACCTTGTGAACCTTGAATGGCCGCGCTCGAGCTTGTCTTATCCATACTCTCACACTATGGATAATTTTTGCCAGAAAGCCTTAGGCAATGCGTCTCACAGAAAGTATTCTAGCCGCATTGATACAAGTATTACAAGTATATAATACACAAGTCACATCCTGACACATCTCATGTGTCGTACCGACCCAGTTGACAGTTGACAGTTCCAACTGCATGACGGTTTGGGAAACGCAAGGCGCATCCCGGCCACCAATAAAAAAAATCTTCAGTTGCTTAGACTCATGGAAGCAAAGCATCTAGAGGCATAAAGCGCCGATCTTCTGATCTTCAAGTGAGTTTTGTTGCACACCTCCAATTTTCTGGGGCGTCAATGGCCTCATTGTGCCCTTTTCGGGAAGCTCACTTGAGACAAGAGATCAGCTTGACCAAATAGATGCGGCAAAGTTGTAATGATATAAGGGGGAGCCCTGCAAAACATCCTAGGGAAGAAAAGCAATGACTGTCAGACTTGAATGCAATTCAGCAGCGTAGTCTGAGAAAGATCGTCCATCCATCTGACCCTCCTGAAAAACAAACGTCGGTAATGCCCAACAAAGCTGGCTGAGCTGTTGCGCTGGTTGCGCTTGAAATTGCAAACAAATTATGAAATGACATGCCCGAAGCGAGAAAGTGCTCAATGTAGGCTCTTTGAGTCTTAGGAGCCAACAGCAATGAGGTCTGCTAAATGCTCTCGAGTTTTCTCTGGGACGTGTGACTCTGGTAGAGACCGTACCTTAGCGTACATAAAAGGAAGGGCGCGGTGACAGGACCTGCTCAACTGCGCCAAGCTTTCGACACACAAATGACTGGAAATCACTCACCAAGGCAATGCCCAGGCACCCAATTCATGATCCACTCTGGGGATTTGCCGGGATCCGCACCTTCGGATTGTCTCACAGGGAATCCGCTAGGACACAGGGACTCAAAGTACAAAGTGAACTGACTCGAACTGACAAGCCAAAGAAGGCAAATACATTTATCATTTGAGTAGGATCCAAATGATCCAGGACAAGGCAGGACGATCCACGACAAGCAAAGCCAAAACAAGGGTCAAATCTTGATGCAGGTTTAAGAGGAGAGGCTGCAAGGGATCCATTCTCTGGAGAAATTAGTCAGTTGGCAATGAGATTTGCTTAATTGCATCATGACCGGCCCTAATTTGATGTCTTCCGGCTCCAAAAAGAAAACATGCGTATTTCAACTAATATGAGGAATCTCGAACACCTGTATCATCTGTATCTTTGGTCTGCATCACCAAGGGATGATACTGCTCTCAACAAATTCGCACCCCTTATCCTGACATCCCTTAGTATGCAAGAACAAAGTGCCTGCAGGTTCTCAGGATTTCACAGCAACCGTGAAACCAGCGATGATTTGAATATTTTGAATTTTGCTTGTGATGCCACTGTGAAACATGTGACATTATGTGACCAAATCATCTGCCCAGGCACCGCCCACACCGGAGGGGGTTGACTTTTGCCCTCCGCTGCGAACACTACTGCTGCTGCTCCCGCTGGCACCTGACATTCTTTAGTTATTCCGAGTCATTCCCATCATTCTCTGGAAAACGAGTAACAAATATAACATGATACAGCATCAAAATTGAGTGCCTGTAGTCGTTGATCCCCCAGATGGTGTTGCCTCAACTCGGATTGTCAGAGTCCTGTCCAGATCCTCGCTCTCCAGCAACGTTTTCTGGCCATCTCTGGTTGTTTCAATATTCTCAGCGAAGGGTCCAAAATAGAGTCGAGCTTTTGCTTTCGTTCCCTGCATTCCTTGTGGAGAGTGGACTCGCCTGCTTGGGGGCCAGAGCGTCACCCAAGGACTGACCTCCCCAGCCTGAGTGGCAGCTCTCATCTGCTCCCATTTGTTCTCCCCCGCCATCTGTTTTCATTTTCTCAGTCTTTCAATGTCTTCCCATATCTTCCAGGTGCACCAGCCATCATCCACAGGAGGTGTCTGCCGCCGCGCGCGGGGGGCTGGCCTCAAGGCATAATGTCTTGCCAACTCAAAGCGAATCTTTCTGCATTCGGAGACATTTCCTTTTTAGCAGAGCAAAGCTCAGGGGCTGAAGCTCCCAACATCTTCCAACAACTTCCCACATCTTCCAACATCTTATATGCAACAAGCAAACCAGAATTTATAATTAAACTATATGACATGTCCTAGCCTTGTTGCCGCAGGCGGTGGCTCCTGGCATCCACACATGCAGTCACACTAATTCATGAACAAGAGAAGCCGGGACCCGGTCAAGACCAATACTTTCAAGAAACATAGCACAAGCATGAGTGTCCAGCTGTCCTTGAACCTGCTTTCTGGTTCCTCTTCCATGTCTCTATCAATATCATCGCACGCATCCATGTCGTGGAAGCCTCAAGCTGCAAAGCATACCCATTGGCCCATTGGCCCATTGGCCCATTCCCCCACCCCAACTCGATTGACTCAACCCCTATTCACTTTATCAACCCTTCGAGGTTCGGAGGTCTTCGCTCCTTGGCTTAATGATGTACCTCAATGTACCTCACACGAAAGAAGTGTTGTTGACCTGTTAAGCGCCTTTTGCGACACTAGTAGTCTCTGCCAGTGAAGGAAGCAAAATTCACATCAGTGCACCCAATCTGTACGTACTGTGCGGCAGAGGAGGAGGCTAGGTCCAGCCAAAAAAACACACCATATATTGTATACATGTATAATATTGTATACATGTATATATGAAATATGTTTAAAGGCTTTATACTGTGTAAGACCTCATGTTCTTGATATGTATATACAAAAACCTTGTATACATGAATTCGTGTATATGCATGTACATAATGCACATGTGTATTGTTCCGAGAATGTTCACACATTCATTCATGCAGGTTTTTTGCCGGAGACGGGCGTTCTTTGTTCGGACCAGATTCGCTTGTACTTCTTCGCTTGCTGCAAAAATGTTGTTCGAGTTGACTTTGTTTCATGCCATTGTGGGTGGCGTTTCCCGTTTGGAGCGTTTCCTGTGAAAGTGAATTGATTGGAAGCATGCTGCTCTGATTGGCTGTTCGGTCGAAACAAGTCCTTTGGCGCTTCCAAATGATTTGGTGTAGGCGCGCGCCCAGCTTCGAACTGTTTTGGCTTTGGATGGGTGGTGTGAGTGCTCCTCTTTTTTGGCCCTGGAGACACCACTTTAGCATACTTTAGCCTCAAGAGCACGAAGATCCACTGTGTGGTCTGTTTGCGTTCGAACCATCTGAGAATAGCTGAAACGGTGCAGCACATCGTGGGCCGTGCCGCGTTTGTAGCTTGTCAAATAATTAGCTCGATTCCCCAACAGCACAACTCTTCCCGTCCCATGCCTGGAATTACGTCTGTTTTTGTTCATGCAGAGCCAAAGAAACAAGCTCGCCTACATTAGCGAATAAACACGGGTTAAACATTTTAATTTGAACACTTAAATAAAATAATACCTAAATATAAACTTGAATTTCTTCAGTGTGAACAAGCAGGAGTCGATCATCCCATGGAACCTTCCCTTGCTCAAGCCCAATGAGAGCCTTCATGACCCTCGTGGCTGTGGCCAGCTGGCCGTGAAGCTCTGCCTCCGCAATGCTTTGCGGTAAGAGAAACATACGTAGAGAAACTGTGAATCAGACCTCTTGCGTAAGAACATGAACACTGAATAAGAACATGTAAGACCGGGATTGTGGATCTTTGCAGTTTTGCTAAGAATCAAATCTGTTCACACTTCGATGAAAACAACAATACTTCAATGCTGCATTCAGGAGTTGCTAAAAATATACTGAACTATATATTCAAGAGCTCGAGAACCATTCGTTGTCTTCACCCTCTCGTCCTGCATCGCTTCACCCTTCACTGGTGACCACTGGTGATCGAATTAAAATGGATTGCATTGACAAGACTAGCGTGCAGGTCTGATGAAATTGCAATAGTTTGTACCCGTCTGAAACAAACAGCTAGCACCTGGTCGTGGCATCGAAGGGACTTTGGAGCCTGAAAGGATTCTTAAGAGTGAAGAACTGCGAAGTTCAGCCCTCACATGTTTGGCTCAGAACTCTTGCACTTGGTCTCTAACACGATGCCTTGGAATGCCTTGGAACGCCTTGGAATGCCTTGGAATGCCTTGGAATGCCTTGGATATCTTGCAGAATACATCAGAATACATGGGCCAAATTCTCTATCCGAGGTAAAGTCAAGCACTGCGCACAACTTTGATGACAAGACGAGCACACAAGACCTTCATCGAAAAGATCGCCACGCCAAGGGCCAGGACTGGGACCTGGGGCCACCTGAAAACCATAAAATGTCATGAAATGTCTTGCAATATCTGCCATATCCAAATCTGTCCGCTATCCGTGCAACTGATTTGTCACCATGCTTGCGAAGGTATGAAGGCACAGCATAGCGAGACGGGTCCTTTTTCATCCTTTTGCATCTTTTCACTCTATGCAAAGCTGCTCCAAGTAGCGTTCCAATGGAGGCAAGAACGACCTTGGCATCTGAAATCTCTTTGCATCCATGCGGGCGTGGCTGTGTGCTGGGTGATGCAGATCTTCCACCTGTTTCACCTTTGGCAAAAAGCTAGGCGGTGCCAACACTCCTCAACAAACTGTTTAAGTACAATTTATATCTATCTATCAATCTCTATCAATCTCAAACTATCTCTATCAATGTCTATCAATATCTATCAATTTCTTCCATCTATCAATCTCTATCAATCTCTATCAATTTCTTCCATCTATCAATCTCTATCAATCTCTATCAATCTCTATCAATCTCTATCAATTTCTTCCATCTATCAATCTCTATCAATCTCTATCAATCTCTGTCAATCTCTATCAATCTCTATCAATCTCTATCAATCTCTATCAATCTCTATCAATCTTTCTCTCTCTCCCTCTACCTATCTACCTATCTACCTATCTACCTATCTACCTATCTACCTATCTACCTATCTACCTATCTATCTATCTATCTATCTAATCAAATTTTATCTTATCTTATCTTATCTTATCTTATCATTCTATCTATCTATCTATCTATCTATCCATCTATCTATCGATCTATCGATCTATCGATCTATCGATCTATCGATCTATCGATCTATCGATCTATCGATCTATCGATCTATCGATCTATCGATCTATCGATCTATCGATCTATCTATCTATCTATCCATCTCTCTTATCTAATCTGTCTAATCTGTCAAATCTATGTAATCTATCTAATCTATCTAATCTATCCTATCTATCCTATCTATCTATCAATCAAAGTCTATGTGTTTGTCTGTCTGTCTGTCTACCCTATCTAATCTATCTATCCTATCTATCCTATCTATCATTTCTATCCTATCTATCCTATCTACAGTATCCTGCCCATCCTTTCCATCCTATCTATCCTATCCATCCATCTATCTATCCAGCTATCTATCTATCTATCTATCGATCGATCGAACTATCGATCGATCTATCGATCTATCTGTCTATCTATCTCAATCAATCCATCAATCAATCAATCAATCTATCTATCTATCTATCTATCCAGCTATCTATCTATCGATCGATCGAACTATCGATCGATCTATCGATCTATCTATCGATCTATCTATCTATCGATCTATCTGTCTATCTATCCCAATCAATCAATCAATCAATCAATCTATCTATCTATCTATCTATTTCTATCTATCTATCGATAGATATCTATCTATCTTTCTATCTATCTTTCTATCTATCTATCTTTCTATCTATCTATCTATCTTTCTATCTATCTCTATCTATCAATGTCTATCGATCAATCTCTATCTGCCAATCTCTCTCTATCAATCTCTACCTATCAATCTCTATCTGTCTGACTGTCTGACTGTCTGACTGTCTGACTGTCTGACTGTCTGACTGTCTGACTGTCTGACTGTCTGACTGTCTGACTGTCTGACTGTCTGACTGTCTCTCTCTCTCTCTGTCTCTCTGTCTCTCTGTCTCTCTGTCTGGCTGTCTGGCTGTCTGGCTGTCTGGCTGTCTGGCTTTCTGGCTGCCTGGCTGCCTGGCTGCCTGGCTGGCTGCCTGGCTGCCTGCCTGCCAGCTGGCTGTCTGGCTGTCTGGCTGTCTGGCTGTCTGGCTGTCTGGCTGTCTGGCTGTCTGGCTGTCTGGCCTGCCTGCCTGCCTGCCTGCCTGCCTGCCTGCCTGCCTGCCTGCCTGCCTGCCTGTCTGTCTGTCTGTCTGTCTGTCTGTCTGTCTGTCTGTCTGTCTGTCTCTCTCTATCTCTATATCTATCTACCTACCTACCTATCTAAACCTTTCGATCTTAACTATCTTATCTTATCCTTTCTTATCTTAACCTATCTTACCTTCTCCTATTTTATCTTATCCTATCCAAACCTTATCTTATCTGATCTTATCTTAACTTGTCTTATCTTATCTATCTTTCTATCTATCTATCTATCTGCCTGTCTATCTGTTTACTTATCCATCTATATATCTATATATCTATCTATCGATCTATCTATCTATCTATCGATCTATCTATCTATCTATCTATCCATCTATCTATCTATCTCTATCTATCTACCTATCTATCTAACTATCTATCTATCGATCTATCGATCGATCTGTCTATCTATCTAGCTATCTATCTACCTACCTATCTATCTATCGATCTATCTATCTATCTATCTATCTTACTATCTAATCTATCAATTTATCTAATCTATCTAATCTATCTATCTAATCTATCTATCTGGTCTATCAATATATCTATCTATCTGTCTGTCTTTCTGTCTATCTTTCTGTCTATCTACCTATCTATCTATCTATCTATCTATCTATGTCCCTATCCATCTATCTATCTATCTATCTATTTATCTATCATCCATCTATCTTTTCCATCTTTCTATCTATCTATCTATCTAATCTTATCTTATATTAACTGATCTAATCTATCTATCTATCTATCTACCTATCTAACCTATCTAATCTATCTATCGTTCTTTCTTTCCATCTATCTATCTATTTATCTGCCTTATCTTATCTTATCTTATCTATCTATCTATCTAACCTATCTAATCTATCTAATCTATCTAATCTATATAATCTCTCTAATCCATCTAATCTATCTAATAAATCAAATCTATCTATCTATCTATCTAATCTAACCTAATCTAATCTAATCTCACCTAATCTAATCTAATCTAATCTACCTAATCTATCTATCTAATCTATCTATCTAATCTCTCTATGTAATCTATCTATCTAATCTATCTATCTAACCTATCTATCTACCGATCTATCTATCTATCTATTAATCTAATCTAATCTAACCTAATCTAATCTAACCTAACCCCAACCTAATCTAACCTAACCTAATCTAAC